GTGAGTATAAGTACATATGTATGTATGTTTGTATGGTTTGTATTCATAAACATTAGCAGCCTGCATTTCTGCAAAACATTTCCAATCGCATGCCAGCCACTCAGGGGATGATGATTTTAAATCGATAATTCTCTACTCGTATCGCCATTCGGAAAAAGCGGGATACCTTCTTCGTGTGTTTGGGTGCGTTCGACACGAAGGCAGAATATATGTATGAAGACATATTTATGTATGTATGTATCTATGTGTAAGCTGTTCCTTGTTGTCTGCAGCATATTTTATAGAATCGTACTTGTTAATGTCAATGCTTTTGGCGCGCCCCGCCGTAGTACACAAATAGTGTCAGCATTGCAATTAAATCGACGGCCATTTAACATCGTCAATCAAATTGACTGAAAACAAAAAAGCCGTCTTTGAGTTGAATTTCAGTATGTATTTAACCCTGAAAATCACCAAAACGGCCTAAAGCATAGCGGTACATGCTAGGAATATTTGAAGCGTGAACCGATCGGAAGTAACCAAATTCGGAATACTCAGCATAGATGCAATTTTCATTTTCGAGCTTGAAACTGATTCAGAAAGCTGTGACATTGAAACCTGCAGTTGCTCTCAAAAGCGATAAATTTCGAAATTCAATATCAAGAGCAGACTCGAATAGCCTAAAAAATTTAAGGAATCAGTTTGCAGATAATTAAGTATATTCAAATGCTGCAATTTTCTCTCTTCCTGTAATTACAGTTGGGTTTGAATAAATTGAACTAATTATTGCGAGGCTTGTTAACAGTATTGAGGTTGTTCCCTATATCGAGGTTGAAATTTTGTGTTCAAAAACTCGTTTTATTTGCCAAAAATACAATGTCTGTGCACTTTCAATTGCACTGGACAAAAAATATAACTTCTGACTGTTTAGGATGCTCTAAGCAGAAATTTGGGATAGTGAATACCCATTGAGGTAGTGCTATTGAGGTATTCACTACATTGAAGTGTTTCCTATATAGGGTTTTCAGTATAATTCCCACCTTAAAATTGACATTTTTTTACAGCAAAATCCATGAACGAAATAAAAATTGTGTGAAAATTTCCACGTCTGATGGCACCTTAAATTACTCAATTTAGTGCAATGTTAAATAAATCCAGTTTGCTTTTTAACTTCAAATTGCCTGTTTGCTTTGCAGATTATGATCGAACAAAATCCTGCTCGACGATTGAAATTTAAGTGTGCTCTACCCAATCGTGGAATAAGTCTCCTTAATATCGCATACAAGGTCCTTTCGAGCGTATTGTGTGGAAGACCAAAGCCCACCGTCAACAAACTGATTGGACCCCATCAGTATGGCTTTAGGCCAGGTAAGTCAACCATTGACCAGATATTCACCATGCGCCAAATCTTGGAAAAGATCGGTGAAAAGAATTATTGCCACCCACCACCTCTTCGTCGATTTTAAAGCCGCCTTCGACAGCACTAACAGGCGCCGCCTTTACGCCGCTATGTCTGAATTTGGCATCCCCGCAAAACTTATATACAGCTATGTAAGCTGACCAACACCAAAAGCTCCGTCAGGATCGGGAAGTACCTCTCCGAGCCGTTCAATACCAAACGAGCTTCAGGATGATTCTTTTTTCGTGTGACTTTTTAAGTTATTGCTGGAGAAGATAATAGGAGCTGCAGAGTTGAATAGAAAAGGTACAATCTTCTATACGAATCCACAGCTGCTGGCGTTCGCCGATGATATTGACACTATTGGCCTCAACAACCGCGCCGTTAGTTCTGCTTTCTCCAGACTGGATAAGGAAGCAAAGCGAATGGGTCGGGTAGTGAACGAGGGCAAGACGAAATATCTCTTGCCATCATTCGCGTCCCGGCTCCCATGTCAACAGTCATAACTTTGAAGTCGTCCGTCTATCTAGGAACCAGTATCAACACCAACAATAATGTCAGTCTCCAGAAATCCAATGCAGAATCACACGTATTTCTTTGTACTGAGTAGGCAACTAAAATGTAAAGTCCTCTCCCGACGAACAAAAAGCCAACTCTACAAGTCTCTCATCGTTCCCGTCCTGCTATATGGTGCGGAAGCATGTACGATGTCAACAGCTGACGAGTCGGCGCTGGAAGAGAAAGGTTTTGCGTAAGATTTGTGATCCTTTGCGCGTTGGCAACGGCGAGTTTTATGGCGACATTGACATAGTACAGCGAATAAAGAAGCAGCGGATATACTATGAGAATCACGCAAACAGCGTGACAATCGTCCACAAGAAAATGCGTTGAGAATTTGGGTGGCACGTCAACAACACATAGATTAATTTATAGAACAAAACCGAAAAAATCATCGGGCCAACCGCACAGCAATCCGTGGATCCGTTGTTCGTCTTGCAATTGATTCATTTAATTATGAACCAGACATAAATTACTCGGTGCGATGGACAAAATACGCAATTATTGGCAGGCGTTAAAATTTCGCAGTGAAACATCCGGCATATGTTGCGCGTCAGGAAAAGTTGTATTGCCACCACTGCCTACTCCACCTGAACCTTTAAACCCCTTTTTTCTGGCAGCTCAAATGAAATTATTCATCAAAATTATTTTTGCGTAAGACATGAAAATTTAATTCTTGCTTCCAAATGAAGTCGTTTTTAGCATACAAAGTTTGGGATTTGTCATCTGATGTTCGTAATTTTGAGACAAAATTCAAAACTCAATGCAAGGTATACAAGGACCATGGAAGGTATCTCCGACAGGTTGACAATTATTATTATTAGATTCAATCGTGCGTATGTTTTTATTCCGCAGTTGGGAGTTTGAAGCACTTCTTATATGTTTTATTGAAATTTCCATATAAGCGACGCGCACATAAAAATACATTGCCAGATCAATAATATAATATAAAAAAAGCGCAAAACTTAGATTTGGATGATTATTAAATATAAGGGCTTTTTATGGTTTGACAAAATCCAGAATCTAGAATCCACAACAAAGTGTGGCCGGGTCTTTTAGTATATAAAGTATGACTTTTTAGCTTTTATTTGGCAACACCGGCTTAAACAGTTTCAGTTTGCTCTATAATTTAACCACGAATCGTCTTACAAACGAACAACGCTTGCAAATTAACGAATTTTATTATCAAAATGCGTGCTCTGTTAAGAAAATTCATTGCGCGCTTCTTCTGCGCGCGCTTCCAAGCTCATTTTAGGTTTAATGGGTGCATAAATAAGCAGAATTGTCGATTTTGGAGTGAAGATCAGCCAGCAGCATAGCAAGAACTTCCAATGCATCCGGAAAAAGTCACAGTTTGGTGCGGTTTATGGGCTGATGGCATCATTGGAACGTACTTCTTCAAAGATGATGCGAATAGTAACGTAACTGCGAATGGTGAGCGCTACCGTGAGATGATATCAAACTTTTTTTTTTGCCCAAAATTCAAGAGCTTGACTTGCATGATATGTGGTTTCAGCAAGACGGTGCCACATGCCACACTGCACGCGTAACTATGGACTTATTGAAAGGCGAGTTCGGTGAACGTTTTATTTCACGTCCCGGAACGGTCAACTGGCCGTTCAGATCGTGCTTTAACGCCTTTATACTATTTTTTTGGGGCTATGTTTAAGCTAATGTCTATAAGGACAAGCGCGCTTCAATTGACACATTGGATGGCAGCATTGAATCATTTAATTGTGAAATACCAGCCGAAATGTTGGAAAGAGTATGCCAAAATTGGACCAAGCGGATGGACTATTTGAGGCGCAGTCACGGTCGACATTTGCATGAAATAATCTTCAAACATTAAATTACATGGATTCAAATAAAGATTTCATGCATTTTTCTGAATTTTATGTGTTTTTTCCTAACTTTTTTTAAACTTTTTATTACTCTTAAAAAATTACTTTGATGCATAATGTGAGATTTCGAAATTGATTTGAAGGGAAGGAAAAAAATCGTTTATCTAATATTAGAAAGCTCTAAATATAGTTTAGTGATAAATAATCTTTAAGTCTGCTTCATTTGTTACCCACATCGTAATATTCCATTTTACTAATGTTTGTTTGCTTGTTTAATAAATATTTGTTCGTTGAATTTCGAAATGTTTCCTATTGGGAATTTTAATTTGTGTTACCATTATAATGAGCCAGTTGTTAGCATTGCGTATGGCCATTCGGAAAGCTGATTTTGAGTGCTGAGCTACATACAGAAATAATTGTTCAATGTGCGGACGTCCCTCGGCAGAGGAATATCTCTACCGGGGGAATATTTCTTTTCAACGCAACGACATGAATTTCCAAGTCGGTGTACCCGTTAAGTATCTTCATGAAATGCAATGTTGCGAATAATCTACGAAAGTAACATAAAGTTTTTTTTTTTTACAATAATAACTCCTACCATACAGAATATCCAAACAATACACATTGCAGTTTTCTTTTAAATATATAATAATAAAAAAAAATTATTTCGGAACCTTCACAATAGCGTTCTTTTTTAACAAAACAATTTTCAAATATTGAGCATCACATCCGATTTTTATTGAATCCTTTTAACATCCAATCCACTGGGACTTAAAATTTAAATAAATCGATTTCGTCCAATAAAAGTCTATGCAGAATTTTATTTATATTTTGAAATCCATCATTTCTAAGATTTTACAATAGCTCCATTCGGAGCGAAATGTCAGTAACACCTACACAGGAACGAAATGTCAAAAATGGGCTTTCCAGGTGCAAATTTTGCTGTCTTTTTGCTTCAGCAAACGTTGTTAAGTACTTTCCAATCAGTTCACACTTCTGAAAAACTTCAAAATAAGCAAGTTTTTTAATTTTGAAAATCTCAAAAACAAACTTAAGACATCAGTAAAATTTCTCAGTATTTGGAGATCTTAAATCAGAGCCTTATATAGCATACCACCATGTATAATGAACAAGTAACATACATATGTATATATTTATATACTTCGACATATACTCCCAAAAATTTCTTCCTTATGAATTGAAAAGCATTAAGTGTATTTGTTATTTGTACGAGACAATCAAATTTAATTGAATAAAAGAAATAACAAAGAAAATTACAAAAAAACGAACAAGCAGAAAATCATATAGTCTTTTGTATAAAAAATTTGACAGTCAAATCTACCTAATACATATACATATGCAATGCACAGTAACATTAAATAATATGATTATATTGCTGTTTATACTCCCAGCGCTGTTTGTGGCCTGACCACACCCGACAATACATAAACGAAAAGAAGAAATCATAGTGATGAAGGCACCGGAATCACAGGTTGAAATAAGTTCAGACGCGCATCGGCATGCCCCAATTTGTTGGTAGCATTGCAATAGTAATCACCAAAATCCGATTCGGTCACACTTGCTATACGTAGAATGGAAGTTGTAGTTTCATGCGACGATGCAGTGTTGGAGATCTCATATCTGGAGTTCGAATGTAGTTTCGCACCGTTGCGGTGCCAGAAAACTGCAGGAGCAGGATATCCCTGTACACTGCATTCCAATTCGGCGACATGTGATAACACTTGTGCCACCTTAGGACGTAATACGGAAATTTGCGGCCGGAATTCGACCTCAATCAGCACCATTCGTTCGTCGGGTTGACCTACTCCATTGTCCGCAACGCAATAATACGCTCCGCGATCAAGTCGGTGCACCTCTTTGATGCGTAATATCGGCCCAGGTAGGGTTTGACCGCCAGCAGGCATAATGGCATTCTCCTCTCTTCTCCACCATATTGTCGGTTGAGGAAAGCCATTCGCATGACAACTTACTTCTAGATTCTGTCCTTCGGTAACTAATTTGGACTTTGGTGTACGCTCTTCTGATATGATGGGTGGATGTTTAATGGACAAGTTCAGTTTCTTCGTGATCTTATCAGTGGCGGACACTATCACTTGACATTCATAGGGCCCCATATCGCTCGCCTCGATTTTCGTTATTTTTAATGAGTACGTAGCACTGCCAGCTTCGTCATTACGCGTCTCCGTGATCGTGTAACGTGGATCACTCAAACTGAGTATATTTCTCATGGACAGAACAACGGAACGTTTTGCCCAGCTAACGGACATTCGACCGACGTTCTCAACAGTGCAATTGAACTGCACATCTTCGCCGACGCTTGCAACAACATCTTTTGAAATATCACTGATTACGGGCTGATTTGCATATAATACATTCGGAAAGAGCGATAAAAAAGCAGCAATCATAAACGACAGCGATACCAGCGGTTTCATTTTTCTTTGTTATTTTGTTTGGGCAAGTTTTTTAAAAATTAAAAAATATATATGTATGTATATTTGTCTCTACTTTCTTTCTTCTCACTTCTTTATCAGTTACTTAAAGCACTTGAACTTATTCAACCACAGGTCGCGATGCGTTCTTTAACGCTTCCGATTCTTGACTGATCATTGACTGCCAAGAACGTAAAAATGAATGCACCAAGACTAGATTACCAAGCCACTCTTTGTGTATTTGTTTTGTTTTGCTGGCTCCTCTTCCTGTTTTGCCGTTAATGCTTGTTTGTTTGTTTGTATGTATGTATGTTTGTATATACTTTTCTTCTTGTTCGCATACATGGGACGAGGTACGCTATCATCACATTTAGTATGCACACATACTGTACATACATACTTATATACATATGCGCATATACATCAGCATGTGCATATTGATGGGATGGTACATCATGCATACAAACATACATATGATCATTAGGGTGATCTAGAGAGAAAAAAGTTGCGAATAGCTTCAATCAAGGCCGCTTCGTTCGATTAATTTGACGTTAATCACGAAGTGTCTCTCTTTTCGGTTTAAACATTCGGAAATTTTGTCGTTACAACAGTTATCAAAATAAATTTTATTTCGTTTCTACCCGAAAGGAAAAGTTGGCATTAATGTTAAATCGTTAACAGATAATGTTAAACGTTAAAATTAACGTACGCTGTTAATATGATAGCAAGCAGCAATTTTAAAATTAATGTTAACGATACGTTTATGCGGTCTCAACGTTAAAGACTTCATTACGTTTTTATATAATGGCGCCGAAACGAAACGATTACATTTCGTTGAGTTAATTTTGTTAGCGAACTGAAATCGTTGGTTTGTTGAGCATCTTTAATCTTAATAATTAATTTAGAAGATGGTTATTGACATTTACTAGACAGAACTATCAAAAAAAAATACCTAAAAATAAAATTTCATTACGTCTTTCCTACCTTAGAAATTTTTTATCGTATTTTAATACTTGGAAATCACAACTATGCGCACTTTTCCCCCTGTCACCAGTCATTGCCCTAATGTCCGTAAATAAGAACTCGATTACTTAAATATTTGAGGTCAATGTACGAACTAGTCCACAAATTCCTGCTTACCTAAATGCTCGACAATTCATCGCTTAGCTAGAGCATTTCAAACATAATCATTAAATTAAAAGATATTTTGAATCTTTTTATATTTTCTAACCATTGAAAGGTCGAAAAAATCAAATGAAAAATTATGTATTTAAATAATTACTTATTGTTCGGCTCTCGATCCAATTAATAAAAACCAATATAATTAGAAAAATTAAAAAATGTCAATAAATACCTTGTAGTAAATAAATTTGCAATTGAAAATTAGATCACTCTAATGCATTGATAAAATGCAGAGAAAGGTACGAAGGCACAATTATCAAATATTCCTATAATTCCAAATAGTGAGAGGAAAATTATTTCAGACATTAGTTTTTGGTTTATATGCATGCCAGAATTCCCATTCGTTGATTCCGCTACTTTCGAAAAAGTTCAGAGAAAAAAAAGACGTGTCTTAAGAAATATAAACAAGATAATTTAGTCATTTCATCATGCGCACATATACATACGTATATATATATGTATGTATAAATATGTGTAAATATGTATGTGTCAAAGTGTAGTGCGCTAAGCCTCTGTAACATTTGTTATGTTGATGTTTACATCCAGTCTGTAGTTTGTAAGCGAAGTCCACTTGACCACAGATTGAGTGGATGACTGTGGCCACTTTCTTCAGACATATCAGACGGGAAGAAAATACTATCATACGTTATCGACAATTTTTATTTATGGAGGAGTGAAAAGATTTTAATGTACTTAGGTCTTTTTTTGACATACAGTTAGTCACATAAGGAAGTATACTCTGGGTATGGCAAGATTGTAAATACAAGAAAGCAAGAAAAATTTTTAATAACAAAAAATATAAACTAATGGTGATTTAGATATGTACTTGAAAGAAACTTAAAAAACATATTAAGTAGAAAACTATTAAAGAAAAAACTTACAAAATTTGTTTAGCCTTCCGAACGAAATTGTAAAGGAATTCATGTCCCAAAAGTAAGTTTACGATAGAATAAATAGCGATATTTTATATAAAATACAGTCTTTAAGTTGTGTCCTAGTAGTTGATTGGATATTCCTTAGACTTAACAATGACTTTAAGCCGTGAAGACAATTTTTGATTTCAACAATTTTTTGTTACTGCTGGAGGTATTTTGTCCTACACTTTTTCAAGGATACTTTTGAGTTGTTATTTATTTGTTATCGAATGCTTACGTACTGTATTGTACATAATGTTCCCAGAAATGCTCGATAAGGTTTGATTGCGGCGCTGTTTTCAAATATTTTGCCATATTATATATTTGAAAGCCGTTCTCGTACAATTATCGATTTATATCATGCTGGAAGATGAATGAAGCCTCCAATCAGTCTCATTCAATTTAATAGTGCTTTGTCTTCAAATATTTTTTAAAATGTTTCAATAACCGTATCGGTTCATAATGTTCTTTATGAATACCAAATTTCCCACTCCCATTTGCCGCTATGCACTCCCAAACCATCACCGAGTCCCGCTGTGTTTAACGGTGCCAGTCATATTCATTAGATTAAACTCTTCATTAACTTTTTTCTATACTGTGGCACAACAATCGGATCCACAGACATTAAATTTTGCGTTCATCTGAAAATGTGACTTGCTTGCAGAACGTTTGGTTGTGTTTTTCGTAATAAATATTCCGCGAAGGAATTCGTTTCCGCCGAATTTCGTTTCTTATAAAATGATTTTTCTTAATATTAAGTCCATGATAACCAGCATCGTACAAAACTCGCCGAATATTTTGAGTACTACATTACTTTCAAGCCTCATTTTCTACTTTAAACTATAGTTTAGAAGCAGTAATCTTGAGATTTGTCTTTATTTTACGCACAATTAAGCTATATATGGAAGTTTTTGAAGACTCTTGGGCCCCCAGAACGTGGCTGGCTACTGGTGTTTCCGAATTTTTATACTTTTTCCCAATCTTTTGAATTGTAGCAAAACTTTTATGCACCAGTCGGCCACTTTCACCGAACGATTTATTATGAAAGACTTTGAATAATCCGAAATCTCTTTTCCTCTCGGTGTCATTACTGAAAATAGTGCAATCAATTTAAAAACAAATATTTTTGTATTTCCCCTAATGTTTATTTTCTATTTTTTTTGTTTAAATTGCATAATCGATACGAAAATCACGGTGTATACACTAAACAAATTCCACTAATTTTTGTGATATTAAATCCACTCTCATCACAGATTAAGCGATACGTGCCTAACAGGACTCGAAATTTACAGTTAAAAAATATATGTACATACATATGTATGCGATGTTGGAAACGCTAGTGTATACTTACTTATGTGACTAACTGTAAATACTGTTAGCGATTCTTATATTCTTATGGTGTTATTAGGATTTACACCTTTATAAATTAGCGATTCAGCATAATGAGAAGCTGATGAAATTCTTTGGAGAGTGACCCCATTCACCGAGTGATTAACAGTGCCTACTAATATAGTGAAACCATCAACGTAATCCTTCAACGGGAGTTAAAGTCTTCCTCTTCGCCCAACCTCATTAATTTAGCCGTATTTCTGGTACAGCAAATCATTCTACTGACCACTTTATTCACCGTTGCTAAAATGCAAAGTATCATAAATCTGCCGTAAAACTTTTTCCACGAAAACTCCCAAAGTTAATTCATCGGACAACGTGTGTTTCAGCACCATATAGTAGGACGGAAATGATGAGCATTTTATAAAGTTTAGTTTTTAGTCGTCGGAAGAGAACTTTACTTTTCAATTGCCTACTAGTAGAACGTTTTGGTAAAAATTCTATTCTGCGTTGGATTTCAATGCTGACATTGTTGTTGTTGGGTCTGACACAACAAATTATCAAATTATCAACGACTTGGGAATTATAAGTTTTAGCAGTAATTTTGGAGCCGAGTCCCAAACGCGATGACTGTTGGTTTGAAAGCGGGACATGTTTCAGCTTGTCCTCGTTTACTAACAGACCAATCGTCGGGATTCTCGAATTGACAATACGGTTGTTAAAGCCAATGAAATCGATATAATCAGTATACCCCAAAAATTGTAATTTTTTCCTTTTCTTATTATTTTTTCCAACATCAAATTGAAGAAATCTCATTATAAGGAGTCACCATATTTGAAGCCTAGCTTAGTATCGAACAACTCGGAAAGGTTCTTCCCGATTTTGACTTCACTTCTGGTATTATCCAGCATCAGTTTACATAGCCGTATAGTTTACCAAATTCAGACTTAGTGGCGTAGATGCAGTTTGTTATTGTGCTTTAAAACCGATTATAACCTGGTATGTATCGATTCTTTTCTTATAAGTATTTTCAAAGATTGGACGCATGGTGAATACATGCCGATTTACTAGGCCTAAAGCTGCACTGATATGGTTTTCTCCACATTACAGTTCTATTTTTTTGAGAATGTCTTAACCCGATAGTTATTGTTGTGCCGGCGGTACGTAGGGAGCTTGAAATTCCAGATCACAGTTCCCTTGTACCGACCGCCAATCACAACATAATCGATTTGGTCTCGAATTCATCCATCCTCAAATAAACCTATGGCTGATTAGAGGTGAATTCTCTTATATCGGTAACTGGTACTACTGACAACCATATTTCAGGCGAAAGCGAACAGGTCAAGCCGTTTGGGAATGTTACGTCATGGAGGCTGAATTTCTCTACGAGATTTTTTTCGCCTACCCATGGGATATTTGTAACAACAGTCCTGTTGCTTGCTTGAACCAAATGTTAAAAAATTATTTCTGGGCTCTTCTAGGCGAATGGCGGCGGTCACTTGCCTGAGTTTCTGCACATGACCGCATCTTCCGATTAGAGGCTTATATACGCTTATATATACATACGTATGAATAGATGTGTATCAATGTATTTATAATATATCCGGGCATTATTTGACGCGATTAGTTTAAGTCAATATTCAAACCAAGAAATTGCGGTTAGTGTTGGATACTGTTAGAATATATCTAAATTTTGTATTGTATATCTAACGGTATTGTCGAACTTCCGCGCTCGTCCCTCAACAATTTTTA